GCCATAAGAAGAGATGAAATACTGCCATTTGTGACAACCTGGATAGACCTCGAGATAATCATGCTAAGTGAAATAAGCCAGACAGAAAAAGTTGAAAATCACATATCACTTATATGTGGAATATAAACCTAAAAGCAACAAATGAACAGGACAGAGACTCAGGGACATGAGCAATGGACTAATGGTTACCGGAGGATAGGGGGCTGGGGAGGAGAGGAGTGGTAGACGGGGTAAAGGAGGTCAAATATAGGGGGGTTGGGGGAGGGTAAAGTGGGTAAAAGGGATCAAATATATGGTAGCTGAAGGAAACTGGACTTTGAGTGGTAATCACACAATAGAATATATAGATGTCAAATTATAATGTACACTTGAAATTATATAATTGTATTAACCAATGTTACCCTAATAAACTTAATTTAAAAAATACAGTGCAATCAATTTCTGTATATTGATTTTGCATATATTTGATTTTGATGTATGAAATTTAGTTGCTATTTCTCTAAACTTACTCTGATTGTCTAATATTAAATTCTAGACTCTCAGGACAAAATTTTAGGGAGGGAAAAATAAATATTTATTATAACCAGTGTTTTATTACAGCCCAGAATACTTTCTTCAACAGATTTGCCAAAGACAGGCTATGGGAGGGCATAGCTGGCCTGCCGAAACCGCAAACAGCCCCAGGTTGTCTTTGGAAAGAAGCTTGGGGTAGTCTTACAGTTCAAGAAGAGGGAGAAGAGGAAGTCTAATCTTTTCATGACTTTTCAGGCATCTTTTATCTATGATTTTATTAAATTTTTTCTAACTTCTTTCTTTTTCAGTCTGTGCTGTTTTTCATAATAATACATTTCTTCTGTTTATTCCCACACCGCCCCAAACATAAGACTATCCTTCCTTTTATTTGCCTTAAAACAACCTCTCTCTGGCTCTAGAAATCACATGTGGTTTGAATATTTAGAGAATTTAGAGGGGAAAAAACGTCTGTATTTAATTTATCCAAAGTCTTAATGTTTTTCTACATCATGGAAGTTTTTGTGTTGAAGTGAAAAGAGCATTGAACTTGAAATTCAGTGTATCTCACCACCTAGCTGTGTGGCTTTTGGTAAGGCATTTAACCTCTCTGATATCTCTTCTTATCTTGATATAATAATGGAACATTGTGAGAATTATGCAAAAAATAAATAAGCAATCAGTGAACTTGGGTCAAATCTGAATATCTCTGTCTCCTCTTCAGATTGGAGAGCCTTCATCTGTTTGGTTAGTGCTCACAGGCTGGTAGCCCACCTTGCTGAAACATTGCCTTTCCCTGCATCTCTTCCAGTCCAATGAGGCCTTCCTTCTAAAGCACATATTTCCAGCTGTAGACACAACAGTTTTGAAGCAGGGTAAGATCATTCATCAACAAATACTGAGTACCTTAGTGTGGGCCAAGAAATAAGTTAGACACTTTATTCATTCATTACAGAAAAATAAATAATTGAGTGCCTACCATGTACATCACATGAATTATCCCTAACACTCATAACAATTCTGTAAAGTAAGTATTGCAACTTCCATTTTATAGATGGAAAATAGAGGATATGGCCCCTATTTTAAAGGTGTTCATAAGCCAGTTAAAAGTAGACAAGACATAGTATATGAAAAGCTGCTAGAAGTACAAGACAAACTATAAGAGGTATTAAGAAGAGGCACATGATAAACAGCCACGTGGTTGTTAAAGGCAAATGCTGCTCCCTCTGCCTAGAGGCCTTTCTCTCAAGTCCTCTCCCTCACAAACTTCTGCTTCTCTAAGAATTAACCAAAGTACCACCTCTTCTGTGAAGCCTTCTCTGATTCTTCCAGGCAAACTTAAGTTCTACTTCCTCTGTGTTCACTTGGCTCTTGATCCTTCTTATTCTTATATAGTGTCATTGTTGATTTGCTTGTCTGTTTTCTCCAGAGACTGTGAGCTCCTTGAGATTAGGGTAAACAAACTTATTCAATTACATTCAGAGCTTGATAATAAAAATTAGAGAATATGTGGTTAGAGAAGAAGGAGAAGTTTAAGAGTGTAATTATGAGCAAAAGTTCGGATGTTTGAATTCAAACAGCATATTTCGTCAAGGGGTAGGTAGTTCTTGTCGGGTAATAATAGAGTTATAGAACCAGTGGATTTAAAACCAAGGATATGGACTTGCTGCTAGAGTTAATAGGGAGCCATTGAAGATTTCTGAACAGAGGAAATTACATGCTCTACTTTCATTTCAGAAAGAATAGACTGGGTACAGAGTCGATCATATCTGAAAACTGGGCAGTCCATAGGAAACTATCATCATGGTTCAGGTGAAAGACAATGAGAACCCAAACCATCAGAAGCCATGGAAATGAAATATTTTAAGACCAGATGGGGGAACCATTAGGAGGGAGTAACCAACAGGAATGAGTAATTTCATGAAAAAGAAAAGAGTGGAGGATGACTGGGAAATTGAGAGAGTGATGAGACCAGTGGCAAAAAAATAAAGAAATAAAAGCCGAGGAATGTTTTGTGGGGGGAGATGATAAGTATGGTTTCAGATAGTTTGAGTTAGAAATAATGATAGGTGGAAATTTCCATTAGGAGCCTCGGAAATGTCTTATGATTATTTCTCATATTCTTCCTTCTGTTGCTTACTATTCTAATAGCTATTTCAGCCATGGCAACATATTAAGAGTTCAGAATTTAACCACAGATGTTCTGTGAAATGGCCCTTTTCCCAGACTAAGTGATCATATTAAAAGCCCTTGAGAGTGTAATCCATAGCCCATGAAGAGGCCTTTTGGAAATGGATTTGCCCAGCAGATGTTTCTAAGCAAAGACCTCCAACAAACATGCCCCCAAATTATTAGGAGGCTGGCGACAATGAGGCAAGTCATAGAGGGCTCAGGTGAGATCTAGATTCAAATCCCTGCTCCAGTAGTTCTTTCTTTTTTTTAAACCTTAGCACTCTCCTATAGAAAGAATATTGGGAATAATAAAATCACCCACCTTATAAATTTATAGTGGAGATTAAATGTAAAGGGCTTAGCACAGTTCTTGGCATATAGAAAATATTAGATAATGTAAGTTTTTATTATTATTATTATCAATAGTTCATGTGACCATATATTAGATAATGTAAGTTTTTATTATTATTATTATTATCAATAGTTCATGTGACCACCCTCTTACGGTCCCCAACCTTTTTGGCACCAGGGACCAGTGCTCCTATGAGAATCTAATGCCTGATGATCTGAGATGGAGCTGAGGCAGCGATGCTGGCGCTGGGGAGTGGCTGCAAATATGGATGAAGCTTCGCTTGCTTGCCTGCTGCTCACCTCCTGCTGTGCAGCCCAGTTCTTAACAGGCCACAAACCAGTTCCGGCCCATGGCCTGGGGATTGGGGTCCCCTGCTCTACTAGACTGTGATCTTGTTGGAAGCAGGAGACATGTCTTACTTATTTCTATATCCTCACCTCAGGACATGGCCAAAAATTGATAGTGACCACCAGAAGCTAGAGAAAGGCAAGAAAATGTTCTACTCAGAGTCTCAGGAGGAGCGTGGACCTGCTAGCACCTTGATTTTGGACTTCTAGCCTCCAAAACTGTGAAACAATAAATTTCTGTTGTTTTAAACCACCCAATTTATGGTACTTTGTTACAGCAGCCCTAGCAAACTAATACAATCCGTATGCATTCATATATATTTATTTCGTACCTTATTTAATCCAATATAATGTTATTTATTTTGTTGCTCAAATTGTTTTCAGCTTTGACTAGTGGGAGCTCTTTCAGATTAGTTCTTATGTCTCTTTCATATCCTCCCACCCTTTTGTTTTTTTTGAGTGCTTCCTTACTTTCTGGTTCTATAAGATGCTCCAGCTTATCTTAAATTTCCCTGCCCTAGACCTAGAATCAGCTGTTTCTGTAAGGAATTTTGTTTCCTTTTATTGGAGAATAGTATTTTGAAACCAAGATCGAAGTTCTAGGAATATTCACCACTGTTGGGGTGTCATTGCTTCTGGGCCCTCTCAGTGAAGGTAATACACGTGTTATGCTAACCATGTATATACACATATCTATATTTGTTTCTGTATCTAGCTCTGTGTGTGTGTGTGTGTGTGTGTGTGTGTGTGTGTGTAAAACATGAGTTCATACTGATGTCTCAGATTCTAACCAAGTACCACAGGGTTCATACTAGCCTTCCCCCTTGCTTATCTGTAAATTCTCTCCCAATGTCCATTACTTACTTGATCAACCTCAGTATATATGTAAAGCAGTTTCACAAATTTGTAACCCATTAGCCCATGAGAGAAATTATCAACTAGAGTACAGTGTTTATGTAGAATATGCTGTTCTTTTTTTATCTTTAGACTTATAGTTTCTAGTCAACCATTGTTTTTCCAAAGTTACTTAGGTCAGCACCTTTTTTTCTTACCCCCTGCAGTGTGTTTATGCAGTAAATGTATAATACAGTTAGATTCATTTGTTACAGTCTACATTCTAGTATGCTGGTTGATTTTTTAAGTGTTTTATAAGTGTCAGGGGGATGGACAGATATAAACTCTTAGCTCCCTGAGAGCACAATTTTTCCCTACTTATGTTACATCCACATAAATAGATGCTCTATGACTCTACTGAATATACTTGTATTCATTTAATTACAAAAAAAAAAAAAAAAAAGAGCAAATTTCAGATCCCCAGTCACTGCTTCTTGTCTACCCGTGATTCCTAGCTCACAGCCATCTGGCTGAGTCCGGCCCTGTCTAGAACACTGCTTTGCTCCTTTCCCAGCTCTTCTTTCTCTGATATCATTGGGATCCTGGGAATCTAGACAAAATACATATCATGCACACGTATACACACATACACTATTCTGCCCTCCTTGCTCCTTTATCTTCGTATCTGTTAAAGATGTGCTTTCCTATCTGAGCTGCCCTCCACTTCCATACCCATACCCATCTCTTCTCCCAAGCTCTATGGTAAAGACCTGTTCTCCAGGAAGCCTTCTTTGATTTATCCTGAGGCCCAGTTTCCTTCTTCTATTGAACCCTGAACACACTCTGGGCCTCTTAACTCTTGGACCTTTACTCTGAGAGCAAGGAGGAAAAGAGAAAAGAGAGAGGAGGAGCTGAGAGGTGGGAGGGCCAAGACCACCCTTGGGGAGGGCTGGGCTCACTCAGAAGTATTTAATACTGAAGGAGCCTTAGGAAAGTTGCAAGGAGCTCCCTTCACCTCTCAATGCCCTCCCCCAAGACTGCCTTTGCTCCCACCAAAAACACTAACCTTTACTTGTATCAATTCCAAATCCTTGTATGGGCTGGAAGCTGGGGGCCCAGAGATGAAGAAAGTATGAGGTCCCAATCTCAAAGCACTCACAATGTAACTGGAAAAATAAGATATAAAAAAAATGAACAAAAATGTAAGATAGTAACACAATAATGGAGGTGAATTCAGAAGAAGGCAGACAGCTGGCTGAGCAGGTAGGGAAGAGGTGACAGAATTTGGTTTGCGGTAAAGGGAGTGTAGGGAGGGTTTAGTCCTTGTGAGCTAAAAGCTTAGAGTCCAGGGGAAGTAATTACCTCGGAGCACCAATTATACTACACCTTCATTTCCCCTTATCTCAGTTCAGGCCCAGAGATGGGAAACTGCCAGGGGTTCTGGGGAAGGTGATGCAACCAGCTAGCTGAAGATGGTGCACTTCCAGGGCCATTGTCCACAGGGCCATGAATGCCAGATGGGTTCTATGAGGCGTAGGGGGGTAGACACGGAGTACCACAAAAGGCCTTTGGGGAAGAGAGTCATACAAGCAGGACTGTGCCTCAGCAGGACAACTGGGAAGCTGTGTGTGGAATTCATGGCAGAAACGAAGGCTGGAGACCAGCTGAGGTCATCATAACAGTTCCCATCAGGCTTACAGACTTAGGCCATGTCATGATGTGATCACTGTCCTCCTCTCTGGGTTTTTTTTAATCTATGGACTATGTCACAACTTGTCTTTCCTCAGACTGAAGCTCAAAAGGGTACTGGCAAGCCCCCTCCTTTACAGCCTTGTTCTCAAAAGGAAGTCAGCACCTGACAGTGCCATGGATTTGGAGGGAGGGGCTGGGCGTGAGAGATGCAGAATATAGCAATGAGGAGGATAGAGTGTAATGTGCAAGAGGAGGAGGAATCCCAGCAGAGTTTATTTATGGAAAAGCCTAAGTTATAGCCCAAGCTATTTAGCTTTTTCACAGCTCTGGCAGAAGCTTTCAGCAAACTCCTCTCACACAGAAGCCAGACAAATTCCCATGGGTTTGCACCTTGGCCCACACTACATCCTGAGTGCCCACTGTGCTTCAGATCCCTGCTCTGGATGCTGAGGTGGAGGGTATCCCTACGGGAGAAGAAGCAGAATTCATGAGTCTCAGTCTGCAAGAAAGAGCCTGGTTAGACCCCAGCACCAATCATGCAAAGCTCTGGACATCCATGTTGGGGGAATGGGGAAAAGGAAAGTGCAGTACTGGGGTGGTGAGCTGTACTGGATCGTGTAACCAAGCTTAGACTTCCGGGAGAGACCAAGCTAGGGAGGTGCAAGCATTAAATCTGTAGGGCGGTGGTGGCAGTGTAGGATGAGGGAAGGGAGAGTTTGAAGAGAGAATATTAAGAAGAGAGTGGTAGGTGTGAGAGGCTAGCAGAGGACCAGGCTTTTCTGCAATATAAATTACCAAGGAAGAGCACAAACATATTTTTAAAATCACACTGAGATCCTGCAGGGAGCACAGCCAACTGATCCCCATCCCAACTTCCCACAGGCCCTGTCTTATTCAGGAGTGGATTGCTGAAGCCCAGGAGAAAAGCTCTAGCCAGAACCATGTGCAGGACAAAATAAATAGTGATAAGAGTTTGAGGAAAGGACAGAGCTCTCCACCCTGGGGTTAGAGCTTGTGTCAGAAGATCACAGAGCCTCACAGGGTGGAGGAGAGCTGCCCGCTCCCACACTCCCACACTCCCAAACCCCCTCCTCCCCACTTGTCCAATCTCGGGGCTGCTGCTGAAAGACCCTACTCCCCAAATGCAGGTCTTAAGGTCCCAGAGTAGCGGTTGGGGGAGTGGGTGCTGGGAGTGCCATTCTTTTATTTCATATTTACCTAAAAGTTCAGGAAGTTCTTGCTGACATTCTTGCTTGGGGGCCCAGAATTTAAACTGATTCACTGCCCAGAACCCTTGTTTTAGGAAAGAATGAGATGGCTATTGCATAACCCAGAGCCTGGCGTTGTGGGTTGCTGAAGGCAACGGTCCTTCTTCCCTCTAGGAAGGAAAGCTGGGCTGGAAGTGTTGGGGATGGGTGGGACACTCCCTGGGGAAGAGTAATGCTGGTGTGAAGAGACAGACTTGTGTAATGAGGGCCCTCAGCCACCTTCGGACAACCCCTGGGCATAGCACAACGTGATGAATACAGATAATTCACTGGATGATACTGGGTGGGGGTGGGATGGTGGACAGGTTCTGGGAAAGGAGAGGAATGGAGGGTAGGCTGACCTGAATGAAAGACTGAGGTTGGAAGTTAGGGGGTGTGTCTTGCTCTCTGACCACTGTTCCTAAGCACCAAGAGTATGGGTTCCTCTGACTTTGTTCCACCCCTATAATTTCAACTGGCCAATCTCCCCCTTCCCTGTCCCTGCCTCCCAGGTTCTCACCCATGTACACTGACCCCTCTGCAATCCTTCCAGACTCTCCTGACTCCGCCATAATGCTAAGGTTTCCAACAGTTCATTCAAGGTGTGCCTCCGCACCTTGTCTCCCAACCCTTTCTATCGATTTACCCAGTCTGGCCCCCCTGACACTCGTTTTCGGGGACACTTTCTCTTGCTCCTCCCTCAGTATTACTCTTCCTCTCTTTGCCCTTGACCTACTTTCTCCCAGGAGCAGTCGGTACTCCCAAGACTCCATTATCCATCATCTCGGACTTTTTCCTCTTTTCATTCACCCCCAGCCCTCTCACGACTTCCACGCACAATCTCTTCTCTGTCCACTTGTAGACTGCCATCTTCTCACTCCCCACGGGAGCCCCTGCATGCCCCTGCAGCTACACACGAACTGGATTTCAGGTTTTCTCTTCATCCCAACTTCTGTCCTCTCCTCCTTCCACCGCTTTCCACCCTCCAGTTCCTCCAGCCAGCTGTCCAGCTCCCAAATTCCGGGCGAGATTCCCGGGAACAAAGCAAGAAAAATCAGAGTAATTTGGAAAGTAAACAGAAACCGGGAAGGGAGGGAGTAGAGAAGAGTGGGGAGGACCCAGGTGGGGCGGGCCTCTCCAGTCCCACCCAGTTTAGGGAATGCCTCTGCCTTTTTCCTCCCACCCTCCTTCACCTGGCTCTTAAAGGGCCTGGCCTCTGACCGGAGGCTACTTAAGGCAGTGGCGGGCAGCAGCTGCGCTACGACTGCTCTGGGAGGAGTGGACGGGGCAAAAATGCTGACCATGACCCCTCACAGGCTTCTGCCACCACTGCTGCTAACTCTGTTGCTCGCTGCCCGCCCAGGAGGCGCCTTGGCACGGTGCCCAGGCTGCGGGCAGGGGGTGCAGGCGGGCTGTCCAAGGGAGTGCGTGGAGGAGGATGCGGGGCTGCCGGCTGAGGGTTGTGCGGAAGCTGGGGGCTGCCTCAGGAGGGAGGGGCAGCCGTGCGGGGTCTACACCCCTAACTGCGCCCCAGGACTGCAATGCCAGCCGCCTGAGGAAGAGGAGGCGCCTCTGCGGGCGCTGCTGCTGGGCCGCGGCCGCTGCCGGCGGGCCCGCACGCCCTCGGGTGAGTCCGCGCCCCGCCCCTGCCCCGCCCATGTGAGACCCGCTACTCTCCAGGCAGGGTACTGAAGAGGTGGGCGCGGGTAGCCCTGCGAGGTCCTGCCGTAGACACTTCTCTGCAGCCCTGGGGGCCACGTTAGAGAGGTGAAGGGGCAAGTGCGGGGGCGGCTGGAAGGCTGGAGTGAGGCTAGGTCCTGAGGAAAAGGCAGGGAGTTGTCTGAGTTCTCAACATTCTTTGCTTCCTCTATCATTTGTCTTGAGGGGAAAGGGACGGGGTTATGGAGGGGTTTAGAGCCACGTCATATGCCACGGAGGCCCAACTCCTTCAGCCGTAAACCCCCAAGCTGGAAAAAGGACTCAGATGTTCTCAGCTTCCATTTGAAGAAAGAGGGAAGGAAACCCTAAGCTCCCAAATCCGCACACCCTGAGAAATATCTCTTCCTCTCTTAATATCAGGGTGTCCAGAGCACCTGAACATGAGGTCTAGAACCGAAGATTCCCCAAACCTAGAGTTATTTCAGACTAGACTAGGGTCAGAGGGCAGGCGCTGGGGGCCCCTGGGGAATGGGGTGAGAGGTGGGAAAAGAAAGAATCTGCAACATCAGAGTGATGATTTAAAGCTGTTCAGAACCCTCTACCCACCCCACCCTAGGGAGGAGAATAGAAGGCTGAGTCATTGAGTGGGTGGGACAGAAGTGAGTCAGAACCCCAAAAACGGGGGGCAGCAGGGAGATGGGGAGGGCAGGAAATGCAAACAGCTCCCCCTCCAGGGGTATCTGAGCTGCATCGGTTGCTCTTCGGCCCCATCTCCCTGGTTTCTTCCATGTGAAGGAATAGGGAATTAACCTGCAGTTTCTTTCAGTCTCAAATGCAAGTGTCCAGGCTGCTAAGGGTTCTTCCTAAAAGGAGTGGTCCAGGTGGGCCAGAGGAGACAGTGGGAGCATGGTCATGGTAGGGTGCCAAATGGAGGGAATGAGGGGCAAGGGCTAAGGAGTGTGGAGGGAAGAGGATCAGACTCCTACAGAGGAAGTGGCTCCAGCTGTGAGTAATAGGCAGATGGGAGCACTGTCTAGGTTTGAGGTCTGGGGAACTGAACAGAGCTTGCTTTGGGCACAGAGGGGGAGAAATGATCTTTCCAGCGGTCACAATATCTAATTTTACAGCTGGGTGAATTCCAAGCAGTGCATGCTCCCCTCCCTGCCTTTTCCTGCCCTGATGCCCTGACTTATCTCCTCACTTTATGCCATCCTGAGATCACCCCAGGCACCCCAGACACCGTGTGTAAATCTTCTCCAGAGCCAGGAGCAGACTGCAGGTTGGAAGCTCCTTATTCCCCGCACTGTTGCAACCTGCCCTCTGCCCATCCAGGGCAGAATGGTACATTCAGAATCTCACATGCTCTGGGACCACTGGAATTGAACTGGGCTGAGACACAGGGAACCAGAAAAGAGAGGCCCCCGCTGCCCCCAAAGTAACCACAGCTCAGGCCCAGGAGAGGTGGGCTGAGTCACAGCAGGTCACAGCAGGGACACACGTTCCACTTGGGTCCCTGTGACCAGTTCCACATCCGTTGCTCTTCTGCCCCATCTCCCTGCCTTGGTGCACCCCCTGTTGGCCTTCTGTGGAACAGTCAGGTCTTTTCACTCCAAACCCAAGGCCTCCCAGTGTATCCGCTGGGGGAATAAGGTTCAAGACACCCACCCACCCAGTGGATGCCTGAAACTGCAGATAGAGCCAAACCCTAAACAACTTCTTCGACTCTGCCAGAAATGTGGCAGCAGTTTCTTCATCAGCAGATGCAGCCTCTCCAGTAATTTTTATATTTTTCAGTTTAAACTTATTCTTGAATCTGTGTAACCATCCCTTACTTTCAGTAAATGTGTAGGTGTCACTTTATTTCAAGGGATTCCTTGCTGAAGTCTTCATATAAGCTCAGTGCTTTCTGTGGCAACACATTGCCTTCAATCGCATCACATTTTCTGTTTGCGTCTTCCGCCCACAAATTTAATGTCTTTTCCATCTTAACTAGGCACTTACCACACACTGTGGCTGTAACTTTTGCAGTTGGAGGTTTGACAGCAAAACTGGCATGAATTTCTTTTTCCTTTTTCACAATTTGACAGATAGAAGATTCTTTGTTACTGTAGATCTCAGCAACCTCAGCATTAGATATGTTTTCTTTTTTATTAAGTCAAGAACTTTCACCTTTTCACTTAAAAGGCAACACTGGACAAAGGGATGATTCCTGTCTGGGCGGGACAGAGCAAGAGGGCGTGAGATTTCAACATATTACTCAGAACAGCCAGCAATTTAAAACTTATGAATTGTTTTTTTCTGGAATTTTCTGTCACATATTTTCAGACCTCTGTTAACCACAGGTAACTGAAACCACAGATGTGGGGCAACTACTGTATTTGTATTTGTTCCCGATTTTTGCTTTTCAAAGCGCTTCTTCCTTATAAACCGTAAAACTTGTCTAGGGATATTGTCAGTAAAGGTAATAATACCATTTGCCAGAGAAAGAAGGTGAGGCTGGAAGAAGGGAAGGGAAGAGCCAGGTTCTGACCCCCCCAAATTCCCTCTCTTCCACCCACTTCAGCGAGTAGGGGGTGAGCAAGGCTCTTTTCCATTTGGCTCTGGTCTTTGACATCTGACTGATTTCTGGCCTCTTCTTCTCCCATCCTCTTGTGGCTGTAGGGGAAAATCCTAAGGAGAGTAAACCCCAAACGGGGACTACTCGTCAACAGGATGTGAATCGCAAAGACCAGCAGAGGAACCCAGGGACCTCTACTACTCCCTCCAGGCCCAATCCTGGAGCTATCCAAGACACCGAGATGGTGAGTTTGAGGCTGGCAGGGAGCAGGAGGGGTAGGGAGCCCTGGAGATGCCCACCTGAGACTGCTTTCTTGGGCTCAGAGAAGTCTCTCAAGTCAGTCCTGGTAGGGCCAGCGGACTGTGCAGTAGAGCTTGGCTGAAGTGGTTCTAAACTGCCTGCTCTCCCTTTCCCCAGGGTCCGTGCCGCAAACATCTGGACTCAGTGCTGCAGCAACTTCAGACTGAGGTCTACCGGGGGGCTCACACCCTCTACGTGCCTAATTGTGACCATCGGGGCTTCTACCGGAAACGGCAGGTAAGGCCACTCCTCTCCTCCTCTTGGTCCATCAGTACAGGCTCCTACCAGGAATTGGGGAGGGGGGTTCTTATATAGTTTTATAAATAAGACATTGTTCCTGCCTTTAAGGATCTCCCAACTTTAGGGTCTACACAGAGACTAAACAATCACACACTGTAGTAGCGGAGTTAGACTGCCTAACTCAGAGGTGCACAAATGTGAGGCACATCAGAGTCACCTAGAGGACAGTGAACACACAGGTGGCTGAGCCCGCACAAAGAGCCGGAGAATTTGCATTTCTAACTCTGTCCCTGGTGATGCTGATGCTGTTGGTTTGGGAGCCACATTTTGAGAACTGCTGTTCTAGCCTAGAAGAATGGCACAATTTTGTGGGTGGAGAAGAGGAGAAGCAAGGGAAGGGAACCCGGCGGGCCTTACAGTCCTGAAAACTCTCAGATGTTTCTGCATACTCTGACATAGGAGTCCACACGTCATCCCCTCCCATCATGGAACCCCTCCCATCTCTCCCGCTGGAGCCTTGGCCTCACCTCTGGTCCATATGCCTCTCTCCCCAGTGCCGCTCCTCCCAAGGGCAGCGCCGAGGTCCCTGCTGGTGTGTGGATCGGATGGGCCAGCCTCTGCCAGCGTCCTCAGACAGCAATGGAAGCTCCCCTTGCTCCACCGGGAGCAACGGCTAAGGCCAGGTGGGGACCCACAGGGCCACTGGCAAGAGCATGGGGCTATCATCTTGCATCATTTATTGAGTAATGAGTAACTCAGGGGCCCTGAGCGCCAAACCCCACCTTCAGGCCCTGCCCCATTGACCCTTCACCCCTGGGACCTCACACTTGGAAAGATTGTTGGTGTTGGCTTGGAGTGTTAATAAAGCTGTGTTGGGGTTCTCAAGTCTGTGTCTCTGTGTCCACCTCTTATGCTTCTGGAGCCTCTGGCCCTTTTCTCTACCCCTCTACCCCCCATAGCAGATCTCTTTTCCTGTGGACTACTTTCGGTCCTTCTTGCTGCGCTTGGAACAAAGAAGGCAGCCATTGGCAGAGTTTTCAAGCCCTGAAGCCTCACTCAACTAAACAGCAGGGAATGGGGGATGGGAGGTAGAGGTGGGGAGACATTGAGCCCATGGCCTTGATCTAAGGTTGTGATCTTGTTTCTAATATTGGTCTTTGGACACAAGGGAGAGAAAGAATTAACAGTTAATAGCCAGCAGGAACCCAACAATCAGGAACTCTCAAAGCACTTACCCTTCTGTTACTTCCTACTAAAAAGGGAAAGAAATTATTATTTATTGAGCTCCTCCCATGGGCTGGGCCCTGGACCATGTGCTTTTATCTGGACTACCTCATTTTGTGTTTACAGTAATCTTGTGAGATAGGGACTTTTGTCCCTGTTTTTTAGAGGAGGAAACTGTGGCTTTAAGTATTTGGGTCACTTGCCTGAAATTACACAGCCAAGAGTTAGAGGGAGGATTTAAATCTGGTTCTTCCCTATGTGACAATGCCTGGAATTCCTTAGG